AAAAAAAAAAAAAAAAAAACAGTTACGACCTTTGTACTTAGCACGGCAATGTAGACTTCGTGATAAAGCATCAAGTTAGAACGGTTAAACCTCTAAATATTTATCATTTCTTTATTACCTTTGAAACTGTAGTAACGCAGTAATAATACTATCTCTTTTGGGAAATTGCCTCGGTGAAAACCGAATTTTACAAATTCAATAGTTAAGGAGAAAAGAGTGAGCTGTTATGTAAGAAGTAACATTTTAAATGAAACCCAAAATTAAGCAACACAACTTTTGCAAAGTTAGTGATTTACAAAGAATGTTGAAAATTAAAAAAAATAATCAAACAATTTTATTATATAAAAACCCATACTTTATGGAAACGTATTATTGAAGCTTGTTTGCAATATTTTTACTAAAACGTTTTTATACTTAAATAATTTAGGTTTGGTCATATAATGCATTTTATGTATTAATACATTTTTAAAAGTGCTTCAAGAAAATTAATGAAGTATGTAGTTATAAGCCGTTGTAATGGTACGCCTGTATCATTCGTCTTTTTGCCGTTTCCGCATTCTTTGTTCGGTGTCATCAGCTGGGCGTCGTCTTGTGCTTGACATTCCGTGCTGCTCCGTGCGCCTGCGAACAGTTTTGTTTGGAGTTGCGTTGTAACTTGAGGTTTTATTGGCGTCAAAAACTTTTATTCTTGCTGAAAGCTGGTAAGTTAAATTATTCTATCGGGATCTTCCTTTCAAATGTATTGAATTTCAACATTTTGATCTTTAAAATGAATTATATTGCTAATCGAAAGTACAATTCGCCTATCACTCAACAGAACTTTCGGTTAGCGTACGTCATGATGCTGAATAGAAATCAAAAATTTTGTTTTAGGCGATATTTAGAAACTCAACACCAATAATTCGTTTTAATTTTTTCGATAATAAAGGATCAAAATTAATACCTGCACATGTAATATTATTAGCTACTGCATGGTATAAATAAGCACTCTACCGAACGCCATCTTGTCAAACCCAACCTTTGTTCTTGTATTTGCGCAGTCATTTGGAGGAGGTTACATCAAAGCTTCTTCAATCAAAAGTTCAATACAGTAATCGTTATCTTATTAGGGCCTCAACTTTCAGGTGTTAGAATTTTGCGACATTCGAATGCGAACAAATTTTATTTAAAAGCTTTTAACGTTTATGTAAATTACGAGGTAATATTAAAAGTTATTATTGTATTTTTTTTCTTTGTTTAGAGTTTCCGTTTTGGAAAGGATTCAATTAATTTTTTTGTTTCAGAAAAATGCAGATCTTCGTGAAAACATTGACTGGGAAAACGATCACGTTAGAAGTGGAAGCATCTGATACCATCGAAAATGTGAAAGCAAAAATTCAGGATAAAGAAGGGATTCCTCCAGATCAACAGAGGCTTATCTTTGCAGGGAAACAATTGGAAGATGGACGCACATTATCAGATTACAATATTCAGAAAGGTTAGTTCTGTCCAAATGTCAGTGGTTAGATGCAAGAAGAATGAGAAGGAAGTATAAACATTGATTTTGGTTTGTAATTATTACCTAGAAATTGAGAATTAGAAACTAGATGTGGCTGATTTCAAGATAGTACATCTAGAAGGATCTTGTATCAGTATATTCAACCTATTGACCCCCACTTTAACATTGTGTGGAGCTTGCCCATACGTGCTGAGCCATTGTTAGACCAATTTGGTGGCATCTGTTTGCAACTTTATCTTCGAATTTTTATGTTGCTGTATTAGGTTACTAGAGTGCTTCTAGGTCCCAACTGCTGGTTATATATGTATTGTTCCCCCTTGAAGTAGTAGCAAAAACCTACACTTCAAAGAAGCAAGAAATTTAAATTGTTGGTTTGAATTATTTTGTAAATGTCTTAATTTCTCCTTATTTTGGAGTTGTATACCAATTCAGGCCAGGACGTTTCCATATTCCCTTCATTATAGAGTGCTTGGGCATTGATGCTTATATACCCAGTTAATATATTCATCCTCGAGGATCAGAGGATTTTTAATAGGAATGTGTACAATGCATGGCACTAATAGCGGCATTAAATGTGTTTATTGTGGCACTGAAATTTTCTATTTGTTAATTTCCTCTTGGGATTATGGTAATTGAATCCATTTTGATGCAACTTCTATTACATGGTCCACAACTTCTACTGTTTTTGAACTTGTGTGGAGAATGCCTATATCTTCAACATTTGTTGGAAACTGGGTTCACCTTCTACTCTAAACAAGCTCTCATTTCCTTTTCATATGGGTGCCACCTTGCAAAGCAATTGAGAATTTGCTCACTGAGTAAATTCTCAGCTTTATTCACATAGATGTGAGCATATGACCTCATGAATGAGAGAATGCTCATTTCTATTTATTTCACTCAATGTTGACTAGCAAAGAAAGGGATAATCTCAGAATTTAAAAATTTGCCTTAGAGGCAAGAGTAGTGAAGGCGAGTGAAATTAACAATTCTCATCCTTAGTGCACTAAATCTCCATTTGTGTTGCTCTCTGATATTTTTCATGTTTTTGAATTATTGTTTATAAGTCCCCACTAAATTCATGTACTGCCCATATTATATTATTTCAGATGTGTTTATATGTCAATAATGAAAGCCCCAACTATGACTATCTGGTAATTGAGAACGATTGTCATCCTAGAGAAGTCCAAGGACTCAGATTGGTGCAGTCTTCAGGTTGTTTAATTTTGTTGGTATGCAATGTATGTTATCATTCCACTGGATTGAAGAGACTTAACAAAACCACAGGGTGCAGACTTACAAAGCATGATTTCTGGCTACAGTGTTGGAGGAAGTAATTTACTGTATATAGTTATATGATTTATCCAAATTAGTCCTGACAAGAAGAGCAGTGGTGCAGCGCGAGTCGTTTAGCGCGGAGGAACATTTTGTCATCCCTCGTTTAGGTATTTCAATTTAAATGACTAAATAGACAGACTTGAACAACATAGCAGATAGCCAACATACAATTACTAAATGAAAAATGTAAATAAAATATTAATGCTGTCAAATTTATACATACACCAACAATACAATTTTCAACAAAGTTCAATAATTTAACAATCACTACTTGTATATATGAGCATTAAAATCGGTTTGGAAAGCACATACAGGTATACGAATTAAATTAATCTGAATTGGACGACCAGTGATCCATCAATAAAACTTTCTTTGAAATCATTCACTTTCAAATCATCACTGACTTCCCTGTAGGGACTTATCTGTACTGTAATCTAATTTGCAGGTGTTGTTACCCACTATTCATTGTATGATGGAAGTTATTCTTGCCGAGTATTAGTCATAAACAATCCAAGCACAAAATAAATTGCGGATATCTCTAAAAGTCGGTACAGATGGTGTTGCCAGACGCTGCAGTGAGTAAGTTCATGTAAAGAAGTCACAATAAGTAATGATAGATTCCGTGCTCATTTCAAGCAGTCCAAATCGTAGGTGCAACAAAAATACGGAATGAAATGGGCTCAAATTTTTACAAGATATTATTCATGAAATTTTGCATTCTCCACTAGGCTACACCACTGAATAAAATTTTGTCGAAAATTTGGTTTTTCCGGTGTACAATTACAGTGAAGAGAAATTAAAAATAGCTATTACTACAAATTCAAAAAAATAATGCTCAAAATGAAGACTTCTTAAGGTTTAATACCATATTTAAATTTATGTGGACTTGAATATAAAAACAGCCTAATTTTGAAGAGGCCTCCTAAGAAGTTTTCAAAATTTGTTACTAATTATTAATATTTAGTCACAATAAAGTTGCATATAATCTAATTGACCAGAAAAGTCTTATTGATGTGGTTAAAACTTGTCTTGAGCTTTTTTTGTTTAAAATCATTCGTCCTAGTTTTTATTTCTACCCTCCTCTTCATAGGTTCTCTTCTTTTTACATCTCGCTACCTCTTACACAGTAGAGAGAAAGCAATGTAAAGCTGCGAAAAGAAACTGCGAATTTTCGACGGAAGAACTTGTTGCCGGGCTCTGAACACAAAAAATAGTTGCCGAATTTAGTGAAAAAATCATCCATCCTGTGGTTTAGGTAGGATAAATGTTTTGTTAGTCCTTGCTACCAGAAAATTGATTGACAGCAAAATGTCCGTCAGTCTGTCTGGTTTATGTGAACAAAACTAGCGTCTAAACCATGCGTAGAATTTTTTTCCTAATTGAAGAAACTCCTGTCAATCTGGTCTGAGTCCCTCTGCGATTTTGAAAACGTTTATGAATTTCTGGGGAATGCATGAAGTCTTTGGAACATTTTCAAAATTTTCTCCAAATTCGCTTCAATTTTTTTCTTTAAATTCCTTGTAGTGAAATACTTAAAGGTGGAATAGATCCGATTTTCAATAACTGAATTTTCAAAATTAGCCAAAAATTTTGAATTTTTTGGTGTCTTTTAACTACAACATTCAGATGTTTCCCTCAAAAGTAATTTATTATTCATAATTAGTTAGGGGTCATGTACACTTTTGAAAATTCTTGTTTGATGCAATATTGTATGAAAATAGTGTAATTTAAATAATTACAAAATTATTTTCTCAGAAAGTCTCCATTTTTATTTTTATTTAAACTTTTGGTAGTGACAGTGCTAAATGCAATGAGATGGCATAAACGCCATATTGATCTAGGCTGTTTTTTTAAAAATTGTAAAAGAAATTTTTGTAGTGTTGTCCTTGACGTCTATATTTGCATTGGTGGCAAATTGCTCATTTATGATTAAATGTGTTTTTAATGATGCCAAAGTTGTTCTAAAACCAGTTTTCTGTGAAAACAAGCTCAAAATTCCCCATTTTCAGAAATTGTCAAACATTTTCCCAAAACTAGTTTCAAATTTTTTTCCCTACTTTTTGAACGGATAGTTACGGCTAATTACATATGTAATGTTTTTGAAATATCTCTTGTCTTGATAAGTCTGAATGTGCTAATTTCCAGCGATTTGTAAACATTATTATGTTTGTGAGATAAAGAGCTTCAAATGACTTCCAATGAAGTTTTTCGAAAACTAAGAGGATTTCCATGAAAGAGGTCGCATATACAGTGACGATGAGCGATTTTCTTAAGTTAGTTATCAACAAAAATTTCTAATAGGACGAAGTTTTACTCATATTTCAGTTCTACCATTAGGAAACTGTAAAATTGAGAACGTTGAAAAAAAGGGGAGGGGGGCGATGTAAGGCAGGAGGATGAGGCAAGATTGTAAAGCTGGTCTAGACCAAAGAAATTAGAAAACTACTTGTATGGGAAAGTCGGTGCCATCATGTAGCACCACATCTGTAGCTATTTGATTCTCCTCCCATACTGTGACGTCATCTTTTTTTTATCTTAAAATTTGGGAGATGAATTTGCTTTTTTAATCTTGCATCTGATGCAAACGCTGTATAAATGCTTCTGCGACACCATAATTTTTCCTGTCCCCGTCCTTGTTTATGTCCTGACTCTGTATGATCTTTCACATTAACACAATATACTAGAAATGAGCTTGGTTTCATGATCGTCATAGAGTTGTGAACTGCGGACTCATGTTCCTCGGTTTCGCGAGTAACGTGATAGATAACGGTAAGTTTCCAAGTTTGGGAGAAGTCTTCGCTAAAAAAATATTTTTATTCTTTTGTGGTTGGAGGTAGAATGCATACTTATATCCTTCCGAATTTTTTAGCTTCCATGTTTTGCAAAACTGTTTTGTACAGAGTCTGCACTGTCTTGAACATCATTTGGCGAAATCTCAGCAATGATATATGGTAATATTCACATTGTTTCACTTGATAGGCCATTGGTTTGGGATACTCTGTTTTACCGGCTCTTATTGATCCAAAAATACCGATCTGAATCGCCGGGCAACTTCGCAGCGTACGCTAATACATACACAAATATAATTGCATAATATGAAATAAAAGTAGAGACCAATAAAAGAACTGTATATTTGCAACCTCCAGACATTGAATCAGATATTGGTAGAAGAAATTTTGAATACATCAGTTATGAAGTTTACAATTTGCTTTCATGCAACTTGAAAATCTTGGGTGTGTATAGTATATCAACTAAAAGTATGATAAAATACTGGTTGATAAACTCCCCTGAGATTATTCTGAAGACCATTATTGAATAATGCCCTGTTTGTAATGAAATAAGTCAAGTTATACTATTGTAATTTATATTTTAGCTTTTATATATGTACTGTAATCAGAAAAAAGGCTAGATTTTGTGATTTTTCTTTTTCATTTGTATTTCATAGAGTACAGTTTTATAAAGTTTCTTTCTTTTCTTTTATATAATTAGTGCTAATGTATTTATCTTGAAAAAAATTGTTTCCTTTATATATATATACATATATATATATTTATTTCTTTACAAATGTACTACGTTTTGCAATATCACGTACATAATGCGATTTGTGGGTTCGTGCACAGGCTTTAGTCTCAACGAGGGGCAGAGTAGATCTATTGTATACATTATGTATATATGCCCTAAAGAAATTATGATATTTCTATAGTCATTGCCGATTATTCAGAGTTTTGTGACGTGACAATCTTAAACGATTAGTTTTAATATGTGAATATGAAACGATTTTTTTTGAATGGGGTGTCGAGGAAGAAACCTTGTCTTACCTTAGAATAATTACTGCAATTGTCTCTGTTCCAGATTTTTTTTTTTTGCCTCAAGTCAACTGAAATACTAGCAAAGGCTGTAATATACAAGCACATTTTCTTTTAGCCACGGTACACCTACCATCACTTCCTTGCCAATAGTTGAATTAAGAATAAAGGATAGCAACGAATGTTTTAGACAAAATCTTAGGTGCGGCTCCTCATTAAAGCCAGAGAGGTAGAACGTCTCCCACAAAAATTGTCAACCCAAAGGGAATTTAAAAATTATTTACAAATGATTTGTTAATAATGAATTTAGATGCATTATATAACATTTATATGAAAATTTTTCTTTGTCATTCGAAAACTGCAGTCTGTAGAAGCTGTTAACAGAAAAGAAAGCGTTAATGCAATCAAATTCATTTGCAGCCTTCCCCATTTAGAAATCCATGGCCGCAACTACAAAATGTTAACCAGAAATGTTCGCTCCCATATAATAGAAGATATATTTCTTTGATAAATGAACTACAAATTTAATATAAAATTCCTATTGTCCAAATAAACCAACTCACTACTTATCTTACAACTTACAAAGTGAGGGTCTCCAGAAAACTTACGCTGATAAACTTTGTAAGCATTTGATTGTTTTTACGTAGGATGAACTTAACTTCACCAATGGCAACACCAACAAAAGCAACACCTATGCTATTGATTTCTACAGTTCTTTAGGTAACTTAAGAGTAAATGTGTGCAACATTAATAATTAACTTATATTAATAATACTAATTAAAAATGTTAACTGAAATTTAGTTTAAAATAAGTTTTCTTTTCAACTTACAATTCCAGGTTACCGGTAAGCACTAGAGATTTTGTTCGAGCATACAATATCTTTAATATTAAAAGTTAGGAAATCTAAAAACTAACAAAACCCTGCAGTGTTAAGAAAGAATAATAAGTTCCATTAACTAAAATTGAGATTAAAAAACCTTGAAGACCCTTTTTTTTTTACAAAAAATAAAACTTTTATACCTCTTGACAGAAAACATCTAAGATGCATTTTCTTTCCATCACACTGATTATCAAATTATGGTTTCAGAATCAACACTACATTTGGTTCTGAGACTGCGAGGAGGAATGCAGATCTTCGTGAAGACATTGACTGGCAAAACAATCACTTTGGAAGTGGAAGCTTCAGATACTATTGAAAATGTGAAGGCAAAGATCCAAGACAAGGAAGGTATCCCCCCTGACCAGCAGCGTCTGATCTTTGCTGGCAAGCAGCTGGAAGATGGTCGCACCCTGTCTGATTACAACATTCAGAAGGAATCCACACTTCATCTGGTTCTGCGACTTCGGGGAGGTATCTGAGTAATATTTCTGTAATCCCTTCATTAAAAATTGAAGATAAATTTTTTAAAAAATTGGAATTTCTTAGCTTAACAACTTTTCTCACTCTGGTCAATGCTTAAAAGTTGAATGGCCCTTTCATAAGTATAATTCTCATTTAATCAAGAGTATTATTCAGAATGGTTGTGTAATGAAAAGTATAATAAAGTTATATTATAAAAATACTGTATTATCCATGTTCTACAGATTGGACTAGTGTAAATTAGGTTTTCTTTTTAGTGCTAATAAACAACGCATACTGAAAATGGAATGTATATCTTTCATTGTTGTTACCTTAATAGAATATGCAGGCCCAATTTTTTTTTTAAAATATTTATTTATTCTGAAGGTTTTATTGATGTGTAGTGTGCCATTGCAAAGTTATGTAGGACTGTGTTTTCACATACCAGGTTCGGCTTTTGGCGTGGGGGATAAAGTTAAATGAGAAATTTTCATATTTATTCAATGTAATACAAGATTTCTGTTTTCATAACATACTGTGTCCTTAAAGTTTAAAAAATATTTTAGGATCATACGTGGTATAATGGAGTTGTTGCTTTGAGAAGGGACAGTAAGAAAAATTATTAAGTGTTTGAATCTTGTTTGGCAATGTTCTTGGAATCATTGTGAAAATTGCATTGAAATAAAAATGGCGTTTTTGGGGGGGGGGGTATTACTCTTTGAGAAATTTACTTCACTATATGGTGCACATTTCCATTCATTGGATTGTTGGGGACTTAATCCTCGTGTAAAAATAATTAGGAATATGGTAATTAGAAGTTGAAGATATTTTATTGGATTATGTAAGTTTGTTTATGTGGGATTCCTGTTCCCTTTATGTGAAACATCAATTAGGTATTTTATGCGTAGTGTAAGAGTACAGCAGCATCTTCTACATGCGCAGATTCAAAAGTGGTAGAGATAAAATAAAGTTGTATTTTGATGATAAATAAGTATTGGACTATGTCAAAAGGGGGCGGACGAGACTCATATTTTTTTTAGATTCCTTACTGTTCCCAGAAATCAGGAATGTAAAACAAGTTAATAAGGACAAGTGGATTTCTGTTTTTAAGCGAGAAAATTTCGATGGTTAGTTCGTCAATGGTGGCCACATACAGGTAAAAACGTCTTCGAAATTAACTAAATATTAAACTCATTCTCGGCACTTCCGCTGTAAACGTATGTAGATTTACATGTTTTGCAACATTATGAAAACCTACTAAATGGGACCAATGCTCGCAACAATTTCCGATGCAATTTATTACACGACGACCTCAAAATCTGGCTCTTACTTTCCAAATCTCATTCACTCCCGACTTCCAGGTTATCTTTCCCAATTCTTCGAAGTCTGATTCCTAACCTCTGTCCACACCACATCCAATCCTCGGTGGCGCCCCCCAAGGAGCTGTTCTTTTCCCAACACAGTTATTAATGACACTCCTGTCCCACAAAGAGTCGACGAATATCTTGACGCAGACGACTTTGCATAAGTGACAGACTGGGCGAGACAAGTGAGCATGTGACACAGATGTACAGCACAACTTTCAAACTAGGCCAACCAATATTATCTATCATTTTTCGCTTGGTAAAATGGACGTACACCCGTTAACGACCCCTACGCATTCTCAAGATTGACATTCCATGGACAAATACTTAGGACTGTTGACATAACTATTATGGACAACATGTAACGGAAAAAATAAAAGACTAATTTCTAAATGCAATGACGCCACTTTTTATACGTAAACATGAACTAGAAGAAAATTGTAAATTCACAACACGTGTATCAAGCCAGTAGTAACATTCCTGCGAGACCTGGGCGACGACTTTCCAGAGTACTTGAGACCAAAAATACTAGAAAACAGAATAGTTGGACCTATCTTTAGACCCAAACAGATCAATGCTACTTGATCAAACAAGGCAACGACATAAACATTTCGAAGGCCAAAGTTTACTTAGCCCAAAATAGAATAGAAAAAGAAATGGTCAATCCCTCCTTTTAATATCATCAAGCCGTACCTTTTCTTCCCGAACTGATTCTGCCGAAACTGACCTCGCAATCTTCCCTCTATTCCATCCGCAAACCCATAACCATAATGTAACCCTAATAGTTGTAATAACCCCATAGCCCTAAAAACCACGGCAACAATCCACCTTCAACAAAATAACCCGTCCATTACTATCTAATTACTCACCTCAATAAAATAAACTTATAACTGTTTATACTATATAAAATAACCAAACCCTCAACATAATCATTCTCTTACAACCAAAATAGAATAAACGCCAATCCACCCGATCAATAAAGAATAGCCCCTCCCTTGCAATAAAAATAAATTTTCATTCCCGTCCTCCCGATGTTCGGTACTTCCGGAGGAAAGAAAAGACTTATTTAAAAGAAGAACCTTGGTATAAGAAAGAAAAAAGTAACAGCCCAATGGTGGGCGGACCACAAAAAAGGGAGTATTGCGTCACATGGAAAAACGTCAAGTAGGGCCTTCGACTTCAATAGAACGAGGATCATTCATTACAGTTCTCTTTGGTTTATGTGCTGTGGGACACATACGTTCCTCCTGTAGTTACATTTCCAAAGTAAAACTTCAGCACTCTCAGAGTGGATCCAACCCCCATTTATGTACATTGATTTAAATTTTTATTTTGAAAAAGCGAATCCCGCGTTTTTAATTTTGGATGGACATCGTGCATAAACTAATCGATGTAATTGACCTGTAACGTGAACCCTCAATTATTTCACTACCTACTCACTCTACGCCCAAGATCCAGCCCCTGGAGAAGATGTTAAAGAACGCAGCGAAGTGTAAATACTCGTACTGTGAAGAAATCAGGCTGTGGCTTAGAACTTGAATACATTTCGACCTTTGTGAAGTGTTTGGTAGAGTATCTGAAAGTGCAAACGAGTTCTGTAATGGCTTTAGAACAACAGGAATTTTACCCTTAATCTGAACATATTTGACGATCCACGGTGGCAGCGTATACAACGTTGCCCTTCACGGCGGCAGCGAATTTTCGGCCGCAGTTACAGGTGCGTGTGTGGAATACCTTTATTACAAGATGTACCATGGTTGTAAATTTTGGAAATAAAATAATTTTGTGAAAAACTTGTCCAAGAAATACTGCTGGAGATCTTCCACAGTATTTTCTAATGCAACTATCTGTAGAACTAATACAAAAATGTAAGTATCCAGTGGAAATCAACGCCAGAACCACGTGCGTGGGAGATGTATATACCTGACACGACACTGCGCATAAAGTTATTTAAGAAATGTGTTAATATAGAATTTTATTTAATTTAGATTTAATTAATGTACATTAATTGCTTGCATTTTATTGTATGTCAGAGTTCTGAATTTTGGAAATTACATTTCTTTCGGTAGATGGAGGTGCAACATCCAGTTTGTTAGGGCACCAGCCGCCACTGTAATGAAGCATTTTGTTTTGTAACGAAAACCTTGTAGTACATAATAATTAATAAACATTTCTTAAATATTTAAACAGCCGACACTTACTTATAAACGTTTACGGAATGGGTCACTTCTACAGTAATAGCTCAGGGGCAGGGCACGAAACTCGTTGATACTTTTCATAACCGATGAAAAGGCAAGTGGAACCAAATGTTTCATACATTTCATTTTATTACAAAGCAGCACGTTTGCATCATCACTAAGTTCTTCATTTCATGGATTAAGTAGGGCTGCTTGTTCCTGAAACCATCTTCGTCCCGGGCGACCCTTACTCCGGCCAGCTGTTTTGTAGTCCCTTGCCAGTCGAACTCGGCTTGTGCTTCTTCGCTCCAGATAACTGCACCAGTTCATTTTAGTGACTGATCTTCTCGAGACTAAATATATCTAATTCTTTACGTATTTCTTCACGCCTAATTTTGTCATCTAGAGTACACCCTTCTACAGCTCTAAGAAATCTCATTTCTGCGGCTCTCACTTCTTTCTCGTCTCGAGAGGGTGTAGGTCTCGCTTCCATATAACACTACTGGTGTTGCCATCGTCTTAGAGAACTTTGGACAGAATAGAAGTCTGGTTTCTTTTCTACTTTTATGGTTCAGGGTTCTATGAATTGTCCCACAAATATTTTTAAACCTGTTTAATTTGTTTGTGACATCGTCGTCAAATACACATCCCATAGATACTTCACATCCCAATGAATTAAAACTGGGCACTTGTTCTACAGTCTTCCCATCAATACTATTTTTCATCTGATAGGATATTTTCCATGAAAAGCCATCACTTTAGTTTTATTAATAGATATTTTACGGTTATAATCTTCACATATATTTTGCAATACATGTATCACTCTTCGTAGGATGTCTTCAGTTTGCTGAATCATTACCACATCATCTGCAAATGCAAGAAGGTTGAGTTTATTTGAGGGTTTAGTTGAATTCCCGAGTTAAAAACGTCTCTTCATTTGTGAAAAATGTCAAAATATAAAATAAACAATGTTGAGGAAATACATTCCTGTCTAACAAATTTGTTTTAATTTCTTTTGTCAACGTTTTGCCGATATCAATAACAACTGTCGTTCCTTGGTACAGACTTTTGATATTATTAATAAGATGGAAAGGTTCTTTGTAATAAGTATGCTCCACAACTTCGCCCTTCGCCAATATTTACGCTGTCGAAAGCTTTTTAAAAATAAATAAATTCCATCTGAGTTTCCAAATTCACGTCGTTTTTCTACAATCTGTTCGATAGAAAATGGGCATCTATCGTGCCGCGACCCTATCTAAGTCCCTTCCGATTTTCGCCTGTTAAGCAAATATTTTAAGTCTTTGATTAAGTATTGTATCATGTATCGCTATCCAATAAGCTGATACAGCTATACTTTTCACAGTTTCCTTTATACCTTTCTTAAATAATGGGATTACTTTCGACTTTAACCAGTTCTGTGGAATTTTACCCTGCTTCCGCCATATGTTAAAGAAGTACAGCAATCTCAGCTGTATAAGCATTAAGCCATATATCCAATCCTCAGCATTTATTTTATCTAATTATTTTGCTTTCCTAATTTTAACACTTTAATGGCTTCTGTTATCTCCTCCATCGCTGTACAATGTTTTCAGGGCTTTGTAGGCCGTGTAAGTCGTCTTCAATATTTGAGATAAATCTATCCCAACACTTCAATTTTCTTTTCCTCACTAACCGCCCTCCAAAATTCTGTCTTTGCCGATACACATCTTTATTTTTTCTTATGTAGGATTATTAAGATATCTTCTAAATGAATCAGTTTTCTCTTTAACTGTATTCTCTATGTCTTGTCCATATTTTAAGGTCCTCTTTTTCCTACATCTTTTCTTTTTGCCAAGGATTTCGTAAGATGTTTTATGTACTGCGTCTTGTATGTTATCCCATCCCTCTTGTTTATTTAGTCCCTCTTTGCATGAGCTCCTCATTTAATTGTTTCTGGTATGGGTACTGAGTATTTCTATTAAGTAATAAATGAGCTTTGTAATCTTCGTCACATTACCTTCTATGAGAAACTCGCCACTTTTTATACATGTTAACGATAGAAATTACATGAAAATGATCAGAACCAATATCATCACTTCTATACACTCTAACATTAGTGATCTGGCCAACGAAATTCTCATCTATTATAATATAATCAATAATTGATTCCTCTTGATGACCAAAAAACAACTTTTGATTTATTAATTACTGAAAAAAGTGTTTTGAATCTTTAATTTATTGAAGCTCACAAAACCTCTTAGCAAAGTCCATTTTTATTGAGTCACCATATAAACCGACAGTTAGCGATTTACTTATTACCTATTCTCGCAGTGAAGTCTCCAACCACCACCAGTTGTTCACTTTGACAGTACTTTTTCCAATACTTTCTGGAGTTTTCTATAAAACTTATCGGAGTCTTCAACTTAACCACCCACTCTTTACTTTCTAGCTCTTTATTTATTAAAATATTGCTACATCCTTACTGGCATGTTGTTGCACGCCTCTGTAGAACATGATATAGTCATCTACGTATTTACTTCCTTGAAGTTTCTTCTTCGTCTCAGATATAAGTGGTAATCTGCATTATTACTTTTCAACACTCTTGCTAATTCATTTTCTTTACCTGTCAAAGATCTCCATGTATTTAAAACCAATTTTCCGCAATCCATTCCCTTTGTTTATTTGGAGCCGAGTTGTCATTGAATCCAATTTCCGAGGCTGTTATGGTTTCTGCAAGTAATAAGTTAAACCCCTTACGAGCGCTGCGCAGGTTTAGCTTGGCGATGGGTTCGCATCTTACTGCTTCCAAGCTTCCAGCTTCCAAATGTGGGTATCATCCACATTGCCTTGGGACCATTGATCTTGTCCCTCGTTGACGGCAGCTCATTCTGAGCCAGACGCTGGGGACAGGGTTCCTCTTCTGCATTACTTTTTCGTCTGGGTCTTCACCTTTAGCCTGTCCGGCAAGGGAGGCCCTGCTGGTAACTACGTTATCGCCGGCATAGTCCAAAGGATCGTAAGACCACACTAGCATCCCACCAACGACAAGTGGCTGAACAGTTTAGCCGCTAGAATTGTTGACAGACGGACAAATACATTTTGCCGTCATTTTACCATACTCTTTGGAATATTATTTAACTTTATTACTGAACTGAGAGGTACGCCCGTGCAATTAAATCCCCTCAAATATCAGTAACTAGTTTAATTTCACGTATAGTTGCAGATTCTGCACATCTGGACAAGACATTATGCTTCATTTAGGAAGTAATTTAACTAAATAGACTTTAACAATGCTCCCTAATGTTGCGGATTGCTTTTGACGTGAATATTTAGATGCGTCTTTTTTAACTAATCCTTCATATTTTAAAGTCAAAGTGAAATTTCTTCATGTCTCCGTGAAATTCTCTTTCTTTAGAGACCTCATTTATCAGGATTGGTTGCGTGTAAAAGCGGCAAAAGGTATGTATACTACTTAAATAATTTATATTTAAATATTTTAGATTTTTTCATTGTGCCCCTAACCCACTTTTTTTCGCTCACAAGAAATCCCATCCTACGTTTGAGTACGGCCTCCGACCCCTTTTGAGGACAGCTCTCCGTATGTCTCTGATTGTAAAATGTAAAACGAAACATGTAATTCTGTTTTTACTGATGAAATTTCAATATTCAAAAGGGTTCCACACGCGACTAAAACAAATTTGTAAACATCATACAGGATGGTCAAGTGGAATCAAAATTAGAAAGAAAAGATCGTTTTTAGATTTAAACTAGTGTGTGAAAAATTTTAGTTATTAATCTTTTTTACACTAATTTCTTTTAAATGTGAGTTTTAATTTTTCATATGCCTTTTTGCACCCCCTACTTTAGCTAAAGTAACTGCCTTTTAAAATGTCTATTTAAGTAAAAATGAATGTATTTTGACCTGCCTATTTTAGATAAAATAAATGCCTGAACGCTAGGGCTGAACTAATGACCTTTCGCGAGCCCCCAGTTAGATAATCCGGGTGTATATCTTACATCGTGACGATGACCACGGGAGAGCTGTTTGAGAGGGTCGTTCATGGCACCGTGGTTTACGAGAAGAGAGAACTGGAGAAAACCGGGTCGTATCACAATGGCCGTGGGATCGTTCTTAACCATTTAACAACACGTGGTGAATGGTGTGTTATTGTGTTGTGGGTACCAGGATGCCTGTTAAAAGAAACTGTTATGTGTTTGTCATAAATAATTGATGAATGCCATATTCGCCTTCACGCGAATAGTACTTGATGTTTACTTCATGTTCTGCAAACATTTAAGATTTGCCTTATAAAATTCACTCTTAGGTTAGGATTGACAGAAGTTAATTGACATTATTTTAATATCCTTATTCAAGGAAAGCGACGACAGAAAATATGACTCGTCACAACAACCAGCTTCCTGATAATTTACCTCAATTGCAAAATTTAATTAAACGTGATCCAGCGTCTTATAGAGATGAGGTACATTGACAGATACCAAAGAATCAGATTATTGAAGGCCTCGTATTTAACTTTGCAAATTCTAAACCAATTTATGTTTTAGTTTATTCAACAATATCAGCATTATAAATCTTTGGTACAAGTTTTTCGCCTACATCCAACGGAGTTCAACAAGAAGTTAGATGAACTGGTTATGTTTCTATCACAGGTACTGATGTTCATCCCTGGAAAGATGTGTTGATTATTTGTGAAGATATTTCAATGTATTTCTTAAATTATATTGTCTTTAGAGGAGGTAGATGTTTATTATATTTTATTTTAAGGTATCACATTGTTACCCGCAAGAATTAACTAACTATCCTCAAGAACTTGTGGATTTACTGCAGACGAATCTCACAGTGCTGGACAGTGACATGAGAATGGTATGATAGAGAACAGTGGAACAATATATATTAATTTGTTGGTATCAGCATAACATGTATTCTTTTGTTTCAGACATTTTGTAGAGCTTTAATACTCCTTCGCAACAAAAATATGTTAAACCCTACAGATTTACTATCATTGTTTTTTCAACTTTTGGCGTGTCCAGATAAATCTCTTCGTAGCTTTTTGCAGACTCACATTGTTACAGATATTAAAAATCAAAATGCCAAACACAAGAATAGCAAGTTAAACACGGTTTGTTACATGAAATTTGATGTGTGTCAATTTACTTTGTTTCTGTTGCCATAAAAGGTTTTAACTCTTTAATTTTTTTTCACAGACCTTGCAGAATTTCATGTATAGTATGCTGAAAGATACAAATGCTAAAGCTGCCAAGATGTCTGTTGTATGTTTTTAATATTCTGTTTATTCATAATGAAATAATTTCACATAATATGAAGGAATTTTTTGACTCTTTTTCTGTTTATTAATTCTGTAGTTCAAAATTTTCCTTTTTGATTGAGGAGATATTGAAAAAGCATTGCGTTACAGTGTTCTTGATTGCTTTCTTTCAGGATATAATGATTGATCTTTACAAAAAAAATATATGGAATGATGCCAAAACTGTTAATGTCATAGTAACTGCATGCTTTTCGAAATTTACAAAGGTAAATAAATGTTTTTTTGAAATTGTTATCCTGTGATGAAACCACAACATTAACATTAATATACATTCATTTATATTTATAGGTTATGGTAGCTGCACTAAAGTTTTTCTTAGGCTCAGACAATGAGGAAGATGAAGAAAAGAATGATAGTGATTCTGATGTAAGTAATGGAAAGTATATGGTAATTTGTTATACTTAATGTATATTTACAATTTTTTAATTTGTTTCCATGCTCTCTTAAAGTTAGATGTAGATCCTAAAGCAGTACTCCTTGCAAATCGTGTTAATAAAAAGACTAAAAAGAGAGACAAGCAAGTTAAGAAAGTTAAGAAACTAGTTAAGGTGAGTACAAACGCAATGTTTCTTTTTTGGGGTGTTTTTACCAAAATGTGAAGAAAATTAATGTCTGCCTGTCTTTTTTATTTATTTTTTTCAGAAACATGCAAATAAAAAATCAAAAGCTCCTGTGTTTAATTTTTCTGGCCTGCATTTGGTTCATGATCCCCAAGGTTAGTATACTTAGGAATCAAGACCTGTGTCTGGTTGCCTGTCTGTCACAGGTAATCAGACACTGGTCTACCGACATACGTGTCATATGATATGTCTTGTTCTCATGATGGGAAATTGACTTTTATAACCATTCAGAAAACAAAGAAATTTCTCTCTTTCTCTGTAGGGAGGTATAGATTGTTTTTGGTTTTGCTGTGGATAAAGTATGTTTTGTCACAAAATATATTGGATTTGTTAGTTTCATTTTAAGAAAACCCTTACAAGAGAACAATAAAAGTACAACAACAATCACAGCCTGTCCAAATTTATTTTAACATTGTCACATCACTCATATTATCTTTTAAATGTAGGAACTGCGACTGTATATGCAATTAAGAAAGTGCCACACACAGAAAATAATTTTATTTTATTTTCTTCCATATTCCGACTAACCAACGGTAGAAACAGACACCTTCTCTTCTCAATTTGGCATTCGAATCATTAATTACAATAGAAAATCAGTAGTTCCACATCTGATGAGCATAGTATGCTCCTCCAATATTAGTTTTAGGTAAAGGTTGGTTGTGCATTAAGTCAAATACAATAGTAACACTAGTCGAAGGCTCATGTCCTTTCTGAAAACATTACTTCTTCTTTTGAGAAGTGTATTAAAACGCAACCTTTTGCTTCTATTGGTCTGTTGACAGACTTTGTTCAGCTTTTGATCTGGTGCTTCAAATATTAGTCTTCTTAGAGCTGAATCTTTGAATACATTCCAATACATGATGTACATGCAATCCATATCGCTATATTTCTCTTTATAAATGTCCTAGATGTTTGATGCAGGAGGGCAAGTAGCATCATCTGAGAACACTGTTTCTAATGTTTCTCCCTGCATTTGAACTCTTTAAGTGTTGTATAATTTTGTTTTTTCTATCATTTTGAACAGGATTTATTCTTGCTCCTCTTTTTTCCTTAATGTCTTCATCTGACTTAGTAATCTGTTGTGCTGCATGTTGAATCCTCCTATGGTTAATAGACAGTATACTCCTGACTTGCACACTAGAACGAGTCCATTAAGACCCTGTACAAATAATGTTGTCTATATATCTTCATTCACTCTGCTGCAGGACTACTTATATGTTCTCTCTCGACAGTTCTAATGGTAATATGATGATGAATAAACTTTGATCTGGTGCACATTTCTGGTTCCAGTACTTCTCATTCAATATTTGCATTTCTTCATCACTTGAGATACTTGCTTTACAGCATGAGGCATCTGAGTATTTGCAGACCACATTATAACCTTTATTTCTACTTTCCCTTTTCACGTACTTCTATTCTTCACTATTCTGCACTATTCTTCTTCTGTAGCACAGGACTGCTTTTCTTCATCTGCTGCTTTATTGTTGCAAATTTGGATACAATAGTTTTTGAAAAGGGTTGTTTAGTGGATGTAGTACATTTTGAAAATAAATCATTTTTAAAATCTGTAAATGAAATTTGGTATTGAATCTTTCGATTAAAAATAACATTAGATACAGAATTAACAATGTGGTATGTGAGCATATAAAAACATTAGTAAGGATATAAAGTGGATATAGTAGCTTTTGGAGATAAGCTTCTCAATTGGCTTCTCAATTGGTCGTAGCTGGTTCCTTCTAGGATATTGTAGAAAAAATCTAGGAAAGAAATGTTTTGAAAGGATCTATGAATACATTGATAAGATTGCTGTGAGTCACTTTACTCTTTCTTACATTGGAATCCTTAGGACTTGATTCATCAGATTGATAATCGTTAACGCTAATTTTGTAATGCAACAAAAATTTAGATGAGTATTTTAATCAATAGAATATCATGTAACTTTCTGTGCTTAGAAATGGGGGACTCAGTCAACTGCAGTGTGTTTACTCTGAACTTGTAAAGCACAAATTACACTTTTAAAACACCAGGCTAAGCTAGTTGTTACTAATTTTTATTATTATTATTATTATTATTATTATTATTATTATTATTATTATTGTTTTTTGATTGAAAACTCAACTTAATGAGCACATTAACCACATTGTCAATAAGGCCCTAAGAACCATGGGCTTCATACTGCACAGCTCTTAACAGTTTCACTCAGTCAACACATTAAAATTACTACATAATTCCTTAGACCTATACTTGAATATGCTGTTGGAGTTTGGTCCCCTTTTACTCTAAAGTCAATAACCACCTTGGAGAAAGTTCAGCTCAGGTTGTTGCATAGTTTGGCTTTCCATAATAATACACCTATGCTAAGATTCAATCAGAATTACTCTGTTTCTTATAAAATGTTTACAATTTCAAATCTTGGTAAAAGAAGAGTAATGGGTCATCTTTTTATCAAAATTGATGTAAATGATAGCAACTGTATCGACTTTTTATTTAACCTTGGTCTTTCGGGACACTGGAAGCCAACATTCATTCTTTGTTTAAAGTGGCTCACAACTGACAATTTTGTTAATGACGCTTTCAGTGGGTTAGCTCAGGGGATGTCCAACTTGCAAGACCTCAAGGGCCACAACTAAAACATTTAATGTGGTTATGGGCCGTATTTTCATTACCTGGGCAATCCTCACGTGACCCCATATTGTTGATCGTGGCCCTTTACCCGGCTGGTCTAAAACAGGGTGAGGTGGATGGAACAGTGCATGATATTAGTCATAACGCATGCGTGATATGATGTGTCATGATAATGATAATGCATGCATGATATCATGCATAAAGCACATTGGGATGATTTTGAATTTCTAAATTTCAGAAAAAAAAATTCCCTAAATGTACATCTTGGGTGTTGAACGCAACAGAGCGTGTGCACTAGTCCCAATATTATCGCTGGATGTGGATGCAACAGATTTTCTTGTTTGTCTAATGTTTGGGGGTCCTAACCTTTCGTGGGCTACAATAAATGGCACTGAATTGCTGCATTCGGTGCTTACAGGCTGCCAATTGGATAGCCCTGGATTAGCTTCTACATTAAATAAATACTGTAAAGAGATTGATTATTTTGATTTATCCTTATTATGCTTTTCTAAAACAATTGAGAATCTTGCATCCTTAAACTGTTATTAAATCATTGAATTGTTATTTTCTTTTTTCTATGTCTTTTAGCTGGTGTATTTAAGTTTTCTTTTGTATTCTATTATTTTTCTCTTTTTTGTTGTACTTTTCCTTACTCTATGTTATGAGTGATATGTATACTACAGGCAAAAGGGAATATCTCATAAATAAAAGCACAGGGCTGCGAAAATAAATAAATTCTCTGCGCTTTTGTTTCTGATGGATGATTTGAATTCATTTAAGCTAGTATTAACAGATCTGATATCCATTTTCCCTTACATGTAAGATTTTTCTTGTAAATTCAAAGAAAAACTGCTAAACAAAAACTCTTCATTTATGAAAGTTTCAAGAAAC